ATCAATGTTATCGAATTTTGATAATAGTTGCCATAAATATTTGGTGGACGATTTTTGTCTGGGATCAATGATATTGGACTTTGGTGATAGCAATAGGTCATAATTGGTGGAGGAGGTCATTCATTGAGAGAAGATTAACCTAAATTAGTATTGAAAAAAATGAAAATGATCTTTATGTATACAGCCAAAGTCATCAAAAGTAAAAGAATATTGAGTGTTATTTATAATGAAATCTTCATTGAAGATATTCAATGAGAACTCCATTTTAACACCAGTATGATTTAGATGATGAATATAAATAATTTGTTAAAGCAAAAAAAATAGATCTGAGTATGAAATAGAAAAAATTTGTTGACTGAGTTAAGAAATCCGGAATAAGAAATCAAAAGCTATGAAGGGATGAAACTTATGTAAAATCTTAGAATTTTTTTTTTATTTTTGTCAAAAATCTAAGAAAGTGTGACAATATATATTAGTTGATAAAATTGTATATATAGAAAAGTATTTAAAAATAAAAGAAAAAAAAATTAAAAGGTAACAAATTTAATCACCACAAACAAATGTATCTCATTAGCTAGGATAAATTTGGTCAAATAACCATAAAAGCATGTGGGTCAAAAACAGTTATAACTTACCTTATCAGCAATTAGTCTAAATGGCAATATAGAATTAACAGAAAATGCCAAAATACTTCTCTATATTTCCAAAATATATAATTAATTTATATATTGACGCAATCTTATGTAAAACAAATCAAATATTTTTATTAATTTGTAAAAATAAATCATTCTATATAGTAAATATCTATAAAATTGACATATAGAAAGACAAAAATAAGATTTAGGGGCCTAGAAAAGAAGTAGATGGAAAGCACATATATTTTTTGTTCACATAAGAAAGAGATAAATAGAGGGCATATATATTTTTGGGTCAACATAGGAAAGATAAATTAGTGTTTAAAAGAAAGAATATATATATTTTTTTGTTTATAATATAATAACGTCTTTTTTCGAATGAGCTTTGAAATACTGTTCATATGGCTTTCCGGATACTGACATGTCTCACCAACAATTCAAGGAAACAAAATCATAGAAAATTTATATGTATCCTTCTTAATTATAATTAACTACATAACTATATATTCTATTCTAAAAAAATATAATTATTTTTAAAAGCAACACTGATATATTTCCACATGATATCTAAGAAGCGGACATATGTCAATTTGAAAAAATACTATTTCTATTAAACTATCTTTCATCAAACAAATACAAATACAAAACTTCTGTTTATTTCCCCTTTCTCCAAATGATTTTCTTTCATCCAAGAAACATAAACAAAAATTAAATCACTCAAACAAATCTTATATGATACACTGATAATGTAGACTCATCGACCCTCGATTTTGTCTTTTGGGCTATATATATATATGTATATATCATGTGTTAATTTTCACATTATATATATATATAATATCAATATATTATACATATATTTGTAAGTGCATAGATCCACTCAATTAATGATAAACGATGAGTTATGTATCATGATAATGGTAAAACACGAAATATTTTGAGAGAAAACAAATCACCTTGATGGGGACGGATATGGTTGTGCCATCTCTCTCTACATTTGTTTTCTTCCCGTCCTTCGATTATATTTGTGATTGTTACCCATTTTTTATCTCATGGAGTTCCATTAGTTCTTTCAACTTTCTATATATTTACATATCTAAACACATTAACACATGATAACATTCTTCAAAAAATATCAAGCATAAAAAAGTATTAATGAAAGCCATGAAGATGTAATTATAAGTTAATTTTTTGATTTTTGATTTTTGTTTTGTAGATAAAATAATATTAAAACTTACCTGTCTTCAGATTTCGTCCATCTTCCTCGGATAATGTTGGTTTTTTACAACTGTTTTTTTTCTTTATCGCTTTCTTATTCTTCTTTTGATCGGTTTGTGCCATCACTTGATATTAATGCTGATTCATGACCTCTCTAATTTGTATATCTCCACCCACCAGAAGACCAAATGAATGAGATTCAGCTGTGAAGTTATCAACAGTTGGTTTATTACCAATAATTTTAAGCCTTTGTTAAATATCACATCATCCCATATAGTATTTCTCCAAGGATCATTAAAATGTCAAATATACCTATAGATTCTGTTGTGATTGGGGAGTTATAGGACGTGTTGTTGTTGGCTATGTTATTTATAAGCTCCTTAAAAGTATCGGTTCCTAAATAGGAATCGATACCCATAAATGGATATGCAGATGATATTTCAGCTAAATATGAATCAATACCCATTACTGTTGGTGATAGTTAGCAGTCATAATTGGTGGTGAAGACTATTCATTGAGCGAAGATTAACTTAAATTATCATTGGAAATATTAAAACGATCTTTATGTATATAGCGGAAGTCATCAACAGTAAAAGAATATGAGTGTTATTTATGAAGAAATCTTCATTGAAGATGTTCAATGAGAAATCCATTTTAACACTAGCTTGATTCAGATGATGATTATAAATAATTTCTTAAAGCAACAAAAAAATAGAATCATCTGAGTATGAAATGGAAAAAAAATAAGTTAACTGAGTTCGAAAATCTCTAAAAGAGCTCAAAAGCTACGAATCGATGCTTATTGGGTAAATTATAACTGTTTTGACCCACTTATTTTTATGGTTATTTAACCAAAATCTATCCTAGTTAATAAGATTATTTGTCATTAGTGATTAAATCTGTTACATTTTAAATGTTTTTTTCTTTTATTTGAAAAATTGTTTTTTATATATACAGTTTTATCATTTAATATATATATTGTAATACTTTCTTAGATTTTTGACAAAAAGAAAAAAATTGTAAAATTTTACACAATATTCATCCATTTATAGCTTTTGATCTTTTTTTCTAGATTTTCGAACTCAGTCAACTTATTTTCCTCCATTTCATACTCATATCTATTCTATTTTTTCGTTGCTTTAAAAAAATTATTTATAATCATCGTTTGAATCAAACCGGTGTTAAAATGGATTTTTCATTGAATATCTTCAATGAAGATTTCATCATAAATAACACTGAACATTTTTTTACTGTTAATGATTTCAGCTATATACATAAAGATCTTTTTAATGTTTTCAATGATACTTTAGGTCAATTTCCTCACAATAGATGGTCTCCTTCACCAAGTATAACTGCTAACTAGCACCAGTGTCCAATATAATTAAACCCAAACTAAAACTTCCACCAAATATGACCGGCAACTATTACCAAAATTCGATACCATTGATACCAAACAAAAATCTGATACCATTGATCCCATACCAAAATTTGATACTATTGATTCCAGATCAAAATCCGATATCACTATTCGCAAACAAAAACTACGTTCCATTGAATCAAAATTTGGTTACCACTTAATAACTATAGTTTTGGTTTGCGAACAGTGGTATCAGATTTTGGTCTGGGATCAATGGTATCAGATTTTGATATGTGCTCAATGGTATTAGATTTTTGTTTAGAATCAATGGTATCGAATTTTGATAATAGTTGCCAGTCATATTTGGTGGACGATTTTGTCTGGGATCAGTGATATTGGACTTTGGTGATAGCTACCGCTCATAATTGGTGGAGGAGGTCATTCATTGAGAGAAGATTAACCTAAATTATTATTGAAAACATTAAAACGATCTTTATGTATATAGCCAAAGTCATCAAAAGTAAATGAATATTGAGTGTTATTTATGATGAAATCATCATTGAAGATATTCAATGAGAACTCCATTTTAACACCAGAGTTATTTAGATGATGATTACAAATAATTTGTTAAATCAAAAATAAAAAAAGATCTGAGTATGAAATCAAAAAAAATAAGTTGACTGATTTCAGAAATCCGGAAAAAGAGATCAAAAGCTACGAAGGGATGAAACTTATGTAAAAGCTTAGAATTTTTTTATTTTTGTCAAAAATCTAAGAATGTGTGACAATATATATTAGTTGATAAAATTGTATATATAAAAAAATATTTCAAAATAAAAGAAAAAAATTAAAAGGTAACAAATTTAATCACCTCTAACAAATGTATCTTATTAATTATGATAAATTTGGTCAAATAACCATAAAAGCATGTGGTTCAAAAACAGTTATAATTTACCCAATAAGCATTTTGTCTAAATGGCAATATATAATTAACAGAACATGCCAAAATGCTTCTCTATATTTCCAAAATATATAATTAATATATATATATATATATTGACGCAATCTTATGTAAAAAAATTCAAATATTTTTATTAATTTGCAAAAATGAATCATTCTATATAGAAAATATTTAAAAAATTGAAATAAAAAAGACAAAAATAAGATTTTGGTGCATAGAAAAGAAGTAGATAAAAAGCAAATATATTTTGGTTCACATAAGAAAGAGATAAATAGAGGGCATCTATATTTTTGGGTCAACATAGAAAAGATAAATAAGAGTTTAAAAGAAAGAAAATATATTTTTTGTTTCTAATATAATAATGTTTTTTTAGAATGAGCTTTAAAATACGGTCATATGGCTTTCCAGATACTGACATGTCTCATCTACAATTAAAGGAAATAAAATCATAGAAAATTTATATGTATCCTTCATAATTATAATTAACTACATAACCATAGATTATTTTCTAATAAAATATGATTATTTTTGAAAAGCAACTCTGATATATTTCCACATGATATCTACTAAACAGACATATGTCAATTGGATAACATACTATTTCTATTAAATTATCTTTCATCAAAAAAACACAAACACAAAGTTTCTGTCTTTTTTCCCCTTTTCTCCAAATGATTTTCTTTCATCCAAGAAACATAAACAAATATCAAATCACTCAAAAAAATCTTATATAATACACTGATAATGTAGACTCATCGACCCTTGATTTTGTCATTTGGGCTATAACCTTTAAACTCAAATGTATCTCCTCATCATATATATCCTTACATTCATCATTACCCATAGTGTTTTTGGTTATACTAATGACTTCAACTGTTTTGGAAGGCTTGTTGTTGATTGTGGCATCGTCTGGATAGTTTTCAAGGATGGGCGGGTTTGCATTTTCATCATTTTTCTTAGTTTGCATGATCTGACGCTTTGTGGCGTTCTAATGATTTTTTATTGCATTTTCGCTTCATCCACAAAGTTGCTGGGCAATTTCAATCCATTTGGTACCAGAAACTTTGTGAGCATCAAGCAATATTTATTCTTCTTCTTCATTCCAACATCTCTCTAAATCATATATTATTTATATTAATTGTATACATATTCAAATAACGCTCATATTATTTATATATGAATGTGAACTGATGATTGATAAAATTCCTATTTTTATTTTTTTGATTTACTTCGATGAAACAAGAAAGTTTATTCTGATCTGAAAAAATTAAAGTTCATGCACATTTTAACTGTATTGAAAAATTAAGTTTTATAATTTTACTTTTTGAGTTTTATATATGTAGTAATAGTATTATATGCGTACCACTTATATATGAATTTTTAAAACTGATGCCACTTAATAAATTGTATATATTTAATTTTCACATTATATACATATATATATCGATATATTATACATATGTTTGTAAGTGTATAGATCCACTTAATTAATGATAGACGATGAGTTATGTATCATGATAATGGTAAAACAAAAAATATTTTGAGACAAAAAAATCACCTTGACGGGGACGGATATGGCTGTGCCATCTCTCTCTACATTTTTTATTCTTCTCGTCCTTTGATTATAGTTGTGATCGTTACCCATTTTTGATCACATGGAGTTCCATTAGTTCTTTTAATTTTCTATATATTTACATATCTCAACACATTAACACATGATAACATTCTTCAAAAATATCAAGCATAAAAAGTATTAATGAAAGCTACCAAGATGTAATTATAAGTTAATTTTTTGTTTTTAGATTTCAGTTTTGTAGATAAAATAATATTAAACTTACCTATCTTCAGATTTCGTCCATCTTCCTCGGATAATGTTAGTTTTTTTCAACGGTTTTTTTTCTTCATCGCTTTCTTATTCTTCTTTTGATCGGTTTGTGTCATCACTTGATCTTAATGCTGATTCATGACCTCTCTAATCTGTATATCTCCACCCACCAGAATACCAAATGAATGAGATTCGGCTATGAAGTTATTAACAGTTGGTTTATTACCAATAGTTATAAGCTTTTGTTAAATATCATATCATCCCATATAGTACTTTTCCAAGGATCATGAAAAATGTTGAATATAGCTATAGACTCTGTGGAGATTGGAGAGTTATAGGCCATGTTTTTGTTGGCTATGTTATTTATAAGCTCCTTAAAAGTATCGGTTCCTAAATAGGAATCAATACCCATAAATGGATATGCAGATGATATTTCAGCTATCTGAAGGTTTTAAATCGGAAGATATTGATGGCAACCAAAATTTGATTCAATAGATCGCAGTTTTGGTTTGTGAATAGCGGTCTCGGATTTTGGTCTGGAATCAATGGTATCAGATTTTGGTTTGGGATCAATGATATCAGATTTTGGTCAGAGATCAATGGTATCAGATTTTGGTAATATTTGCGGTCATATGTGGTGGTAGATTTTAGTTTGGGATCAATGATATTGGACTTTGGTGATAGTTAGAGGTTATAATTGGTGGAGGAGACCATCCATTGAGAAAAAATTAACCCAAATTATCATTGAAAACATTAAAACGATCTTTATGTATATAGATGAAGTCATCAACAGTAAAAGATATGAGTGTTATTTATGATGAAATCTTCATTGAAGATGTTCAATGAGAAATCCATTTTAACACTAGCTTGATTCAGATGATGATTATAAATAGCAACAAAAAAATAGAATAGATCTGAGTATGAAATGAGAAAAATAAGTTAACTGAGTTCGGAAATCTCTAAAAGAGATCAAAAGCTACGAATCGATGAAAATTATGTAAACTCTTAGAAATTGTTTTCTTTTTGTCTAATATCTAAGAAAGTGTGACAATATATATATATATATATTAATAAAAAATTATTTAAAAAGTTATTTTAAATTAAAAGAAAAAAGCATAAAGTATAAAATTTAGTCACCAATGACAAATGTATCTCATTAATTAGGATAAGTTTTTGTCAAATGACCATAAAAATAGGTGGGTCAAAAACAGTTATAATTTACCCAATAAGCATCTAGTCTAATAGCAGAAAATGCCAAAAATGCTTCTCTATATTTCTAAAATATAGAATTAATTTATATAATAATGCAATCTTAAGTGAAAACAATAAACAATTTTTTTTTATTATTTGAAAAAATAAATCAGTCTATATAGTAAATATCTATGAAATTCAAATATACAAAGCCCACAAAATTTATTGGTGCATAGAAAAGTAGTGGATAGAAGGCATATATATTTTTGGGTTAAATAGAAAAGTGATGGATAAAAGCGATATATATTTTTGGGTCTACCTATAAAAGATAAATAAAGGTTTAAAAAGACGAAAATATATTTTCTATATATTGTTTCTAATACATTAAGATTTTTTTTTTGGAATGAGCTTTGAAATAATATCATATGGCATTCCAGATACCGACATGTCTCACCTACAACTAAAAGAAAATAACTATAGAAAATTGATATGTGTCTATCATAATTATAATTAATTACATAACAATATAATCTATTCTAATAAAATAAGATTTTTTTTCAAAAGCAGCTCTGATATACTACCACATGATATCTAAGAAACGGACATGTGTCACTTTTTAAAAAACTATTTCTATAAAATTCACTTTCATCAAACAAACACAAATACAAAGTTTCAGTTTGATCCCAAACCAAAATCTGATACCATTGATCCTAGATCAAAATCTGATACCATTGATGGCAGACAAAAATCCGATACCACTATTCACAAACTAAAAAACTACGATCCATTCAATCAAAATTTGGTTACCACTCAAAATTTTCCGATTTACAACCCTCACAAAGCTGAAATATCATCTGAATATCCATTCATGGGTATTGATTCCCATTCAAGAACCAATACTTTTAAGGAGCTTATAAATAACATAGTCAACAACAACATGACCTATAAGTCCCCAATATCCACAGAATCTAAAGGTATATTCGACATTTTTCATGATCTTTGGAGAAATACTATATGGGATGATACAATATTTAACAAAGGCTTATAACTACAAGTAAAGAAGTAACTGGTGATAACTTCATAGCCGAAACTCATTCATTTGGTCTTCCGGTGGGTGGTGATATACAAATTAGAGAGTTCATGAATCAGCATCAAGATCAAATGATGACACAAACCGATCAAAAGAAGGATAAGAAAGCGATGACAAAAAATAAATCGTTGAAAAAAACCAACATTATCCAAGGAAGATGGACGAAATCTGAAGATGGGCAAGTTTTTGTATTATTTTATTTACAAATCTAAAACCAAAAACAAAAAAATTAACTTATAATTACATCTTCGTAGCTTTCATTAATATTTTTTTTAGCTTGATTTTTTTTGTTTGAAGAATGTTATAATATGTTAATGTGTTTAGATATATAAATATATAGGTAGTTGAAATGACTAGTGAAATTATGAGACAAAAAATAGGTAATGATCGCAAATATACTCGAAAGACAACAAGTAAAACAATGTAGAGAAAGGTGGCTCAACCATCTCCGTTCCAACATCAAGATGATTTGTTTTCTCTCAAAATTTCTTGTTTTACCATTATTATGATATATAACTTATTGTTTATCATTAATTAAGTGGATCTATGCACTTAAAAATATATGTATAATATATATTTATATATAATGTGGAAATTATAATTCATATATTTATTAAATCGCATCAGTTTTAAAAATTCATATATAAATGGTATGCATATATAATACTATTAATAAATATATAAAACTCAAAGGATGTAAAACTTAATTCTCACTGTAGTTAAAATGCGCATAAATATTTGTTTTTCTGATCAAAATATACTTTCTTGTTTCATCGAAATAAATCAAAATATAAAACTAGAAATTTTATCAATCATCACTCCAAATTCTTATATAAATAAAATGAGCATTATATAAATATGTATACACTTAATTATATAAAACTAATATGTGATTATAGAGAGATACTTGGACTTAAGAAGAAGATAAAATGTTGGTTGATGCTCACAAAGTTTCTGGTACCAAATCGAGTGAAATTGCCCAACAACTTTCTGGACGAAGTGAAAATGATATAAAGCATTATTGGAATGCCACAAAGCGTCGGATCATGAAAATTAAGAAAAATGATGAAAATACAAATCTGCCCCACAATAACATCCCCGAAAACTACCTAGAGGATGCCACAATCAACATCAAGTCTTCAAAGACAGCTGAAGTCTTTAGTATAACCAAAAACAATATGAGTAATGATGAATGTAAAGATAGTTATGATGAGGTTGATTGTAGGTGAGACATGTCAGTATCTGAAATGTCACATGACAGTATTTCAAAGCTCATTTAAAAAAAATCTTATTATATTAATATTAATATGTATAGAAAAATGTATTTATCTTTTAAACCTGTATTTATCTTTCCTATATTGACACAAAAATATATATGCTATCTCTCCATCTTTTTCCTATGTGGACCTAAAAATATATATGCTTTCTATCCACTTTTTCCCTATGCACCATGAAATTTTTGTATGATTTTTATATCTGAATTTCTTAGATATTTACTATATAGACTGATTCATTTTTGAAAATTAATAAAAATACATTTTTTTTCAACAAAAGATTGCATCAATATATAAATTAATTCTATATTTTGGAAATATAGAAAAGCATTTTTGACATTTTCTGTTAATAGTATATCGACATGTAGACTAGATGCTTATTGGGTAGTTACAATTGTTTTTTACCCACTTGTTTTTACTGTTATTTGACCTAACTTATTCTAATTATTGAGATATACAGGGATGATTAAATATGTTTCCTTTTAAATAATTTTTTATTTTATTCTGATATATCATGGTTTTTATGGTTTTTAACCATGATATAAGTCCTTTTTATTGATTCTTTTTAGTATTTTTAGAGTCCTAGAAGAGTTTTTGCAGGTTATAGCATGTTTGGAGCATAATTGGAGATATTGAAGCCTTTTGGAGCATTTCGAGTTGAAGCCACGAAGTACCTAGCTCAGAGAAGAAAGTATGTGATATGGTGACGCTCGTCACCCACCAAGGTAGGAGGTCGTGGCTGTTTATTAAAAGATGGAGCATTATTTGCAGAATTGGTCTAAAAGTTCTAGTATTTGCAAAAAGGCCCCAGATCGTGTTTTAGCTTGTATATTAGGTTTTTCAGCCATTCTTTTGGCAGATATCTTGTATCTTATTATTCTAGAGTGCTTTAGAGAGAGATTTGTAGCAGAGTTTTTGGAGAGACAAATCAGACTCCTTCAGAGCAGATTTCGAACTCCTTCATCTTTACTTCTTATTTCTTTTATGCAATCTATTCTTTTCATGATGTTTGTTTCATTCACCATGTCTGAGTAGTATGCTAGTTAAGTTAGGGCTTTTTCAAGGGTTGGTGAAGAGTTTGTAGAATCGCTACCTGTTAGGAATATCTTTTGGTTTTTCATCTCTGCTTGCTTTAAAATCGAATTTCTTAGACACATCATCTAGAAATCCAAAAATCATAGGTTCTTAAATATATGTGAGAGCATTATTGATAACCTGAACTAGTATTTTATGAGCAAAACAACTTAGTGCAAAGAGATTTGGCTTGGGAGTTTTGTGAACAATTGAATCTGATCATTCCTGCATGTTTAGGTTGTTAGGGTTTGCAAAGAGATTTGAAACTCTGTAATTTAAACATAGTTAACTTTTGCAATGAGAATTGATTAGTTATATATCTGATATTCATGTTCAAAACGGTTCTTAATCATTTCTGATTTCATGCTTTCTACATTCTCGGATTCAACCTGCGAACTGTCCTGACTTAACGCTTTTAGTCTTCTGAAACTTAGATCAACAGCTTGAATTTCGTTTACTTACTTTTATTTAATCATTTACATTACATACATTACATTCTGCTTAGCTTAATCCGAACCTACATTCGATAGTGTAGTTTACATTACTCTCTTGGGATTCGATACCCCTTGTACTACAACTGCTTTTGCTGTGCACTTGCAGTTGTTTTATTTGGGTAAAACCTGAGCCCTATCAAGTTTTTGGCACCGTTGCCGGGGAGTAATAGCTGCATATCAACTTTTATTTATAGGATTTTGTCTAAGTTTTAATTTGTTTACTGACTTTCAGTTTCTTTTCTTTGTGCTGGTTTCAGGTGTATGCCTAATCGCAGTACCAGAAGCAACA